ATCTGGCAAGCAAACCGTAACTTCCTTCTCTGTTCCGCGAGTTCTTTCTTTTTGGGATCAACAAAAAGCACCAAGTTATTCACGATATCCACTACCATTTCATACTGAAATAATACAACTTGAAGGGCGGTATCCTGCAGTTGGATACAGTAAGAGTAACAAAAAAGGGAGGCAAATGTTATGCAAAGAAAGTTTTATAGCGTTTGCTCCACCACTAGAAGTTTCGTGCTCTTTAAAGGATAACTTTCAATGATATCGTATATGCTATCTTAACCTTCCTCTCCACTACTCACTACGGACTTCCTACTGTAACGCTACCATATCCTAAACTACACTAAGTGGATAGTACTATACATCTGAAGCTGTGCCTAAAAAAAGTTTAGGCTGACCTGTTCCGAGTTGCTAATTGCTTCCAACATATTATGCTTGACTGTTACACAATCGACTCCGATTTCTTCTACACCTATGGTTCGCTCTTGCTCAATCTGAACTTATTATGTCGGAAACGCAGGTATGGCTGAAATTTAGAAAATAACTAACCTTTGGGACTCCAGTCTCCTCAATGTCGTCAGTTTTCAATTCTTCCGAGAAATAGCAAAAGTATATCTCACAGCTACATCTCGAGACAATTCGTTGTAGTTGAATTTTTTCAGAAGTCACTTTTGCATCTACCACTCCACCTACAGCATCCCCAGCGCCTATATACGGATGCAAATATGGATCCTCCACTTCGCCGGCAGGAGTTTTCTCCTCGATAACCTAGAAAAAAATTTCTTGAAGTAGTGCCAAGTTTTCTCTAGTGTCTTGTAATTACCGTGCACTTCTCATATCACTTAAAAATCCCAGATATGAAACTTTAAAATGCATCATACTCCTTTCAGACTTTCTAACAAAATTTTACATCTGTTTTGTGCCGATTAAATCAAGTACGATAAATGCTAGCAAAGCGTTCATACCTCCCTCGTTAGCCATCTGAATGGCTCATCACCTGTACCATCAGGATTTGTTATGGGAGCAAAGTATTGCATTCCAGAAACAATTGCAGACCATGACTTTTTGCTTAACAACTGCCCATTTTTCCATACGCAACGATGTACCTGTAAAGGTCTTTTTACTCGGATGACAAAACTAAATCGAAATTCTGACCTTTTGAGTAACACTGGCTCGAGCGGCTGTAATTAATATAAAGCCAGTTTTTTCACATCCTCTCAAAACGACCTGACTATTGAGGAGATCAACTGAAAAAAAAACGCTTCCAGAGGCATTATATATATATATATATA